TTTCCAGCTACGAATAACAAACAAGAAAGGGAAATGAAATCAGTCTCTGTGTTGCTCTTTTCATGGCATTACCGCATCCTCTTCCCCAACCCAGGAATAACGTTATTTCAGGAAATTATTTCTTTCTTCACTTTACTTTAACTAATCTAACTTTAAGAGAAGTTTCATTAAATTTATTTTAAAATATTAACTAATGAAAAATTCCAATTCATTTTACTTTATTAGTATTATTTTATTGTTTTCATAAATATTTGTAGAGGAATTTGATTAGGGAGTATTGTATTCACATATTGTTTAATGTAACTTAAATTTATTGACTTTTCTAGACGTTGCCTTAAAAGTTATATTCTTAACCTAATTTTTATTGATTGAAAGTGTAAAAATAGTAATAATATTAATATGAGAAGAAAAATCTCACTTTAAGAGGAAAACAAATAACTTTGATGACTATTTACAAGTTTTCATAAAATTTTGTTCTGCCAAAGTAAAGGACGTGTCTATTTCGTACATTTTTTTTGCTTAGTAATACGATAAATGTTTTAACGTAATTATAATTCTATTTTTTCAATACATTCCTAATAAATAAATATTTTTGAAAATATAATTTATTGTATTTTAATTATGTTGTAAAGTTATTTTACTTATTAATAATTCCTATAATAAAAATATTATTGAATATTTAACTTTAAGATACGGTTAAAAGATACTAGATTAAAAGGTATAAGTGATTAAGAAGATAAAATAACACTAATATATTATTATTATTATTATTATTATTATTATGATGTGTAGAATAATGTTTGGAAAATTTTGATTTGTAAACGTAAAACACAGTATTATGTAATGATATAGATGGTGACATGTGACAATTAAGATTGTTGACTTTTAAGAAAAGTATATTTAAGAGTTATATGTGAAATAAGTTATACTAATACAATTTGTTGATGATGTTAAAAAGAAACAGAAGTTTGAAAAGGATATCTGATATGAAGATGAACAAGTAGACTCCATTGGTGTTGTTGGGAAGGCATAGCTAGCAAGGCCTTAATTTGATGGATCCCATTTTCCCTGAATATGTTTCTACCTCTTCTACAAGTTGAGTATGACAATGTTAATCTTTTTGCTTGTCTATATCATAGATGCAAATGTGCAATTTATGGTGATTGGAGACTTTGCCCAAACCCATAGAAATAGGCACATAGATCACACACTGGACCACATGATACTTACTTTTCATAAACATAGCCATCCATCTATTTCGTATAGAGCTAGCTTGCACCAATTTCAATTTATTGTACAGTCTACAGTTTTCAAATGCACTGCTACTGCTAACAATATAATCACCCATCAAAGAGACAAGGACATCTTTGCTTTCTGCTTTCAAGAACCATCTTTTTTTATATATCAAAAGCTGAAATCAACCCCGCGTGTTTTATTGCTACACTTTTTACACCAGCTACCTTCTCTCTGCATAATAATTTTAAACAAAACCAAATATGTATACTGTTTTCAACTCTAATTTTACTCTTCTCACTTTCCAATTGCTTTCTGCAAATAATCTTATAGCATGGTTCTATGGTTTAGTATAGTATATTCTTAATTAGTACAGCTCATCATACTTATAATTTTTTTTTTTCAGTTTTTGCAGTGGGATTTAATTTAGCACCATTTTACAACATAGATTAGTGGTTAATAACCAATGTAAAGTGAGATAGTCATATTTTGTGTAAAAAAAGGAATTTTTGTTTGATGTAAAATGTTTTCCAAAGACTCATTTGTATGAACCCTATCTTCATTCCCCTCTCATTTCTCTCTCTCACACCCCATTATTCTCACTCTCCTTGCTGACACCATCCTCTTTCTCCTACTTGTAGAGCGAGTTGTGTTCTCTTTGTCTTCTTCGACAATTTTGTGCATGCAAACAAGGATATGTACTTTTTTTCACATCCACTTTTTTCCTTAGATTTGGATGAGTTCAACAATGATGATGCTTCAGACAGCAACACTATATATCTTGTTGTAAATACCGAGTCACGTTTTTCCTTGTTTGATAACACTACGAGTAATGATGTTAGTGAGAATATGCTGATAAGTGTTACTTGATTTGTAAATGATTTTGGAATTAATGAATACTGTTGTGTGTTCCTGAAATTTAGACTCAAACATTATAACACATTTCATTTATTTTTTTGTGTGTGTCAATATTACTTCATTAATATTATTATATTTGAATAATTAATCTTTTTTGACTGAATAATTAAACCTTAAACCAGTTAGTTGAGGTATTGAATTACTGAGAACACTGTTCAATACTGAAAATGAGTTGATGAATAGGTACTGAATAAGGGAAAGGTCAACCACGTGCCCCAGAACAGCTAAATCATCGGCTATGTTTAATTGCATATGTTATGTCAACTTGTTTTAATTTCTCACACACTTCCACTTAATTATTTTAATTTCAACCTTGTAGTTATTCCCAAAGTTACATACTTTATCCATATTCAACTAGTCTAAGAAATACCAGCTATATATCTTCTTAGGGAAATTTTTAATTCTCTGCCTCTCAAACCTGCATATTAAACTTTGTTTTATTTGGTAAATTTGATCGACAATTGAAAAAAAAAAACTGGGAATTAATTGTTTGTGTACAATGTCCTAGGTACCTGCTACTTCTTCTTATTAATTAAATATCATCACATGTGCATGTTTTGATATTTCAATCATTAGTGTTTAGAGGAAAACTAATGATTTATCTTTCTTGTTTTGTCAAAGCACGTTATTCATATTAATTATATTTTTTTTAAAACAGGGTTATCTTTCATAGTCATCCCAAATGTAACAAAATTTGAATTTAAATTTATTCACTCATATACAATAATCTAATAAATATTTGTAAATTATATATAGAATGTGAAAAATATAAATTTAAAAAACTCAAATATTCTCATTTTATTAAGAATATGAATTAAATAAAATATACAAATATAAGCACTTAAAATTTGTAATTTAAAAAATATTTTTAAATATATATATAATTTTATTGAAGATCTATAAATATCCCATTATATTTAAAATTAGTTACATTACTAATTAATATTAATAAAATTAAAAATCATAATTTAAGAACAAAATATTAATTTCATTTTATATTAAAGCTCATAAAATATGACATAAGATAAAATAAAAAATTATTAGCTAAAATAAGATTAATAATTGAATGATAAAATAGTACATATAGAAAGTTCTATCATTTGTAAAATTACTAATGACAATATATATGGAGAACAAGAAAAATGAATGTGAAGAGAAGAAAACCCACAAACAAGGAAAGGGAAATAAATTATACATACATGATGATAATGACAATAAGGATGAAGCAATATAATTTAAAGCCAGAAAGAACTAAAAGGTGATATTTGGCATGTTTTTTGGGATCCGGGTCATTAAATTATGACTGAGCTCGGGAGTTGGAAGTTTTGAAGAAGAAGTTATTGGTCTGGAATATATTTATTTTCCCCTTAAATTTATACAGTTGAGGAATATTGAAGAGGGAATCATGTATGGTTGTATAGGGGGCAGAAGAAGAGGAAATGAAATGATAATTGAAAGAGAAGGAAGGAAAAAGAGAGGTACACATGTGTTGTTGTTAATCTTGACTTAGTTATCAGCAGAGTCATGTAAGGAAAGTTAGTCTCCATTTAAGTTTTGGATTCTCATACTAAAAAAAAAAAGTTCTTGTTCTTGTTCATGTTTATTGCTGTTTCAAGAACTGATTATCGGTTCAACCATGTTGTTATGAAACATGCACTTGGGATTTGACAGTGTGATGATTATTTGGAAAGAATGATAATATAGTGAAAAGAAATTGTGAGGTGAGCTAATTGGCTTTCCTTACGGCTAGGAGGGACCAGCCCAGAGCACAGAGCACACAATGAATGGCACCAAAAGTCAAAAAAAGAGAAACTCAAGACAACCTAACACTGTGCACTCTCTCTCCTCTACTACACCATTGCATTGCACCTCCCTCTACTTCTCTTCTGTCTAATAACAACAACTTGTCATAGATATCCTTTCCCTTTTTCTCATTTAATAGTTTTGAGAAACTAAAAAAATAATGAGGGTTCAGATTTAACAAAGTGAAGCTCTTTGCTTCTGGAACAAGTGGCCTTTTGGTGTAGAACTGGAAGCATATATTGTACAGAAGATTATTATTATTATAATTGTTATCTCAAATATTATGAAAATGACTAGTTGCTCACATGACCCCTATATGCACATTATTCATGGGCCCCCCACGTAAGTGTAGTAACCCCTCTTTTCTTTTCTTCTCTCTCTTTCTATCTCTCTCTCTCTCTCTTGTTATGTTTAAGAATAAAACTGGGTTGCAACAAACATTTTTGGTTCTTTTTTCCTACTTGTAAAGAAGCTTCCTTTGAGGTAAACTACACTTGTGTTAGCTAAAACTCCCATCACCCTCTCTCCCTTCTCCATCTCTCTAACATATTCAGCTGTTTAGGTCAACAATAACCCCGTTTTGAATCCTCCATGCCTTCTCTTTCTTTAGGGTTTGATGCCTCATGGTCAAATATGAAGGCACCGACTCTTACAATTCTCTTGTAGTACTAAATAAGCACCTGCTTTTCTTTGTTTTCTTCACAGCCTCACATATCTATCTGCCTACTCAAATATCTTCTTAGCTCTCCAACTATAAATTATTTGGTAATTCAATTTATTTTATATATATATATATATATATATATATATATATATATATATATATAATCTTGTCAATTTTCTCAGACTCTAAATTTTACATTTTTATTTTCCCAACTTTAAATTGTTTTTTTTTTTTTATATTTTCCCACTTCTCTTCTCCTCCTCCTCTTCCCTTCCCTTCATGATTTCATTTTTTTTTCAACTATTTGGTGACATTGTTTTAATTTGGTGAGATCCAGAGGTTATAATTAGCAGAATTGAAGGTGGGATCAGTGTATAATTTTATGGAGTTGATGCAAGAAGTGAAAGGGTATTCTGATAGCAGAGAGGAGGAGGAGGAAGAGGAAGCAGCAGAAGAAATCATCACAAGAGAAGAAAGCAGCAGTAAGCATCACTACCCCTTTTCTTCTCCCTCTTTGTCTTTATCTTCTGCTCCTTCAATATCAAATTATACTTCTACTACTACTGCTGCACGTCCTCATCACCATCATCATCCAATAAATATTCCTCACCAACAAAATCCATGGCTGGGGATGAATATTCATGATCATGATCATCATCTTCAGTCACCAGAGACCACTGAATCTCACAATTCATCATCTGGGTTAGGGTTGTTACACCAGCACCAGGATGCAGCAGGTTCCAATTTCATCATCAGCAATCATCATCATCATCACACAACAAAGCAGCTGGACTTCATGGACTTGACACTGGGGAGCAGCAAGGATGAAGGGAATTTGCTAGGATCAGGAGGTGTTGCTTCTTCCGTGTATGCTCATCATGCAAGTGGTAGTTCTTCTGCCAATGGTAACATTAACAACCTGCAGCAGCCTTCTGAGAAGGAGCACATGTTTGATAAAGTTGTGACACCAAGTGATGTGGGGAAGCTGAACCGGTTGGTGATACCAAAACAGCATGCTGAGAAGTATTTCCCTCTTGATTCCTCAGCCAATGAGAAGGGGCTGTTGCTCAATTTTGAGGACAGGAATGGCAAGTTGTGGAGGTTCAGGTACTCCTATTGGAACAGCAGCCAGAGCTATGTGATGACCAAAGGGTGGAGCCGTTTTGTGAAGGAGAAGAAGCTTGATGCTGGTGACATTGTGTCCTTCCAGCGTGGTGTTGGGGAATTGTACAGGCATAGGTTGTACATAGATTGGAGGAGAAGGCCTGATCACCATCACCATCATGGCCCTGACCCTTCAACCACACTCTTCACACCTTTCTTTCTTCCCAATCAGCCTCACTTAATGTCCATCAGATGGGGTGCCACTGGCAGATTGTACTCCCTCCCCTCCCCAACTCCACCACGCCACCATGACCATTTGCAACAACACCTCAATTACAACACCGTGTATCATCAACATCATCATCCCTTTCATCACCAAGGTGGTGGTGGAAATGGAACTCATCACTACAATTATCATGACATGAGTACTTCAGGATCTGGCTCAGTCTATTACCTCAGGTCAACACCCCCACCAATGCCATTGGCTGATCACCAAACCTTGAACACAAGGCAACAACAAGATGCAGGCAATGTTTCTCACCCCCCTATAATCATTGATTCTGTTCCTGTTGCTCACCACCATCATCATCACCACCACCACCATGGTGGCAAGAGTGGTTCTAGTACTAGTACTAGTCCTAGCACTGCAGGCAAAAGACTTAGGTTGTTTGGGGTGAACATGGAATGTGCTTCTTCAACATCAGAAGACCCCAACTGCTTCAGCTTATTGTCCTCATCTTCAATGGCACACGTGACAAAGGCTAATTCCAATTCACCTCCCTCTTCTTCACTACCACCTCTTCAGCTTTTGAGGGAAGACTCACTTTCATCACCATCATCAGCAAGGTTTGGGGATCAGAGAGGTGAACCTTCAATGCTTTTTGATCTGGACCCTTCTTTGCAATACCGGCAGTGATAAACAAATTGTTGAAGAAACAAATAATGAAGGAAGATACGAATTTGATCTAAAGTCACCTGGGCTAGCTACACTCTCTTTTGCAGCATTTTTATTATATTTTAAATTTTTTTCCTTTCCCTTTTGTTTCTTTCATCAGCTGCAAAGGAAAGAAAAGGCTCCCAGACTCTCTCTTGTTCTTCTGCTTCTTCTTTTGATCAGTAATTAGTTTTTAGCTTTTGCACGTTTTGGAGTCTTTAGTACGTTTAGAACTGCTCAATGAATTAATTAACTTGGGATTTGGGCCCTGAAGATATGGAATATCCATCGTTTCACAACCTAAAGAGGGAAATGAAATCCATGTGGAGATCAATTACGTTTAGAACTTTTTCAACTGTGTATAATACAATACACACATATATATATATTATATATATATATATATATATATATATATATTATTTATTAATATTATTATAGTATATATATGTCTTTTGCTCTTTCTATTTTAATATTGCTTCAAAACTGTGTTCTCTCTCTTTCCGTTTACTGCATTTAATGATACACAGAAAAGCTTGTTGCTTTCTCCTTTCCTCTAATGTTTCTGTTAGCCTTGTTGGGTTGATGTCGTTCAACACACTGCTGCTTCTGCTCCTGCTGCTTAGTTAGGCATTTTAGCTTTGCAGATAAAGCGCAGAAAGTTGTACAGCTGTAAAAGGGTAATTTTTTCTGATCTTATTCCTCCTCCCTTCATTTAATTTGATTACCTTTTCACACTTACTATGCTGTAGTTACCATAAATAATTTATTGATTATATTTATCAATGAGTACTAACCCCCTTCCCTCTCCCTTTTTTTTACCTCTATACCCCTTCACATTGTTACTTACTAGTACCTTTTTCGTTTTGTAATTTTTTTGGTGATATGCTTTTTTAACTTCTCCTATTCATCAGCCGCCTTCTTGTCTGGATTAGCACTGCACACAAAAGTGAAATTGGAAAAATGAAAAAATGTGGGGGTTTGTTGCCTGCCTGATTCTGATTCTTATCTCAATGTTTTTCCTTTGATCCATGATTCTTACCTTAATTTATCAGATACAGCTTATGTAGCCTTTAGACTTTATGGATTTAGATTTCTCGTGTGATGCTTAATTAGTCTTTGTCATAGTCTTGTTACTGTCGACAGTTGAAAATAAAACTCAGTGTTTACTAATTATATACATTTTTTGGCTTTGTCACAGATATTGCAATAATTACATTACAGCTAAGACTTTGGACAATGAATCAAGGAGCTTTACTTTGGTGATCGAGGTGATCAATACCAGCTTATCGTTTCTTTTTTTGTTTCTGTCTTGACATTATAAGGCGGATATAAAACATACGCTATGATAAGAAAAGAAGGTAAAACATTTGCTTTCACAAAAATCGTCATTTTGATTCATCCGAGATGTGTAGAACGTGGATTAATTGATTTTATTGACCTATCTAATTAAAGAAAAAAACTCGCTACTTTTGAAATTATCGTGTGAATTAATGTAAACTGGGTAAAGAGAGTTGTGTGTAGCACTGATGGGGGACAACGATGAATTCGAACTTTAGGTTTACAAATACAAGATCTTTTCATTTTACTACTCATATATTTTCTCCATGTTTATTTGGAGTAACAGATTCATAGAAACCACTTGTATCTATATATGTTTGAAAATATTAGAGAGGCATTGAATGCAAAATACACTGTTCAAGGCATAAAAAGGAAAAATCAAACAGAATGTTGTGTTCTCTCGGTGTGAAATGGGAAACCAAAAGCAACACATAGGACAGTAAGATCAACAGTAAGCGAGACAAGACATAGGAGCAGGACCTTTCTTTTGGTTACACAGACTTGAATGTGATGCTTTTCTGTTAAAATAATATATAGGAGTATCTCAGATCCTTTGGGTTAAAAGTTAATATCCACGACGTCGAAAGTCTTAGAAGAATCCTTATGACTTCTGGCATTTAAAGATTGAAAGAGACTAGAAATGGAACCTTTTTTGGGGGGATGATCTAGTTAATTTCAAATGCTCCGAAATCAACAAGACAGGAAAAATTACTTAGGATCAAACTAGGCATAAATAAAACATCAAAATCTTTGGCTTTTATCTTTGATCTGTATTGTATATATTCTCCTATCATCCTTGCTTATATGGCAGCCATGATCTTGCATACATAAAGTTAGTTAAGGAAATCAAATGATATTAAGAAAGAAAAACACAACCAGATTAATTTTATGGTCATGCAGTAAGTAACAACAATATGAATCGTGTTTCATTTTGCCAGGAAGATTGGTGATTCATCAGCTTTAAGCTTCATACACATGCATATGAAATACATACCTGCCATTAGTCAATAATCAAGAAAAGCCTAGAGTCATATAGGTTAAATAAAGTTATCCATAAATTCAAGGGATTAATTATTTTATTCCCTAGCTAGTGTTAGGCTTCTTGTTTAATTATAAAACAAAGACTTTACTTTATATTGATCATATGATGATATAGCATGAATATTGTTTATTAGCAACGTGAAGATTATCATTGTTTTGCGAATTGAATCATCCCAAGATACAGTGAGTAATAAGGAGAATGTTTGTCAGTTATATGGTGGTATTACTAATGTAATTAGTTGTATATCCACTTTTCGTATAATAAGTTAATGTTTGCTAGTTATGGGTGTTTTATGCAGAAGGGAAAATAGAAGCTCCACCAAATCACTGAAACCAGACCTTATGATTCAAGGACTTGACAGCTACCATTGCAGTGACTATTTCAGAAATATTTAACCAAGGTACAGTTTTTCTAAATACATAGGTTTACATACATAGCTAGGTCACACACCATACTCAATCACTGATATTTAAGTTTGGACAATAGAAAATGCTTAGAGCAAATTATTTGAAACATCATTCAATCTAGTGTACAGTTTAACTGCAAAACGGATATTGCCTTGCATACCAGTCTCAAAAAGTTATCATCAGTTGTATATAATCATAATAAAAAACTGGATGTAGATGATAATCATTTTCCAGTGCCAGGTTGATTTAGTGGTTCAGCATCTTTTTATAGTCCAAAGTTGGAAGGTAACAACAACAATATATTGCATTGCATGCTTGCAAGTACACTTGTTGTCATTTAACTTCACCGGTTGTTAGAAAGTAACTTAAATGTTAATCCTGAAGCAGTGAGATATTGCAATGAAATATACATGTTGAAGAAAATAAAGTATTTTAGGGTCATGGTGTACATTTGAAAAACAGCAGGCAAAATCACCTTTAAATTAAAACTAAATTAACAATCTGACTTTCTGGATATAAATTTTGCTGAGCATATATATAGTTGGCTGTTATATGTCTGGTTGCATCTCCCTTATAAATGCAACAAGTTTGGAATGCCGTGTATCATAGCAACATACATAATGTATTATAGTTGAGTTTCTATCCATTCCAAGTGTCATGCATTCATTTTTCGTACATTGTTTTTATACTTACATTTAATGAAGTATTGTCATTGTTTTCTTGAATTTGTCACTTTATTATTCTTGTAATTATGACATAAAATCAAATATAATATTTGCAGTGACATAGATTAATATGAGTGTAATTTAAGAATATTTTTCCTATTTTGTTGGTTTTAAAGTAAAAAACTTCGAGACCATAAAAATTCTTCACACGCTACTTTTGTAATCTAAATTTTTCATGCAATAGAAGCATAATCATTTTGCTTAGTGATGCTATTTCCTGTGCCTTTCAAAAGTTAATTCTAAAAGATGGTATTACAGGAAATAATTATGCTGATGAGATTTTACTATTATTACTCTTACTTTTACTATATAATATGAATTTTATATGGGAGTAGACCAAAACTCGTGATTTATAATAAATTTTGATATCCAAAGAAGAAAATTGGTTTCTTCTATCAAGAAGTCAATATAATATAAACCCTTTGTGGAACTAATTAATATTTCATCAATAAAATAATATATCAAATAGACCCTTAAAAATGCTATTGCATGAGTTTTAAGTGTGTGAATATTTTGAGATCTAGGATAAAGTGTGTATTTCTTTTTCTGGAATCCAAAGCAACAATGGTGAAATGACCAGAGCTGTGATAATTCCTACCTTTCTGTTTTCAATGACAGCAACAAAGCATATAACCTCTAATTTGTACCGTTTAAATTGATAATGTTTATTATATATATATATATATATATATATATATATATATATATATATATATATATATATATATAATGGAAGCCATATTTAAAACTTAAAAATGAATAGTCTTAAATTTTATCATAACTTCTATAAAGCAATTTTTATAAAAGTTATTTGAATTATGTGACGTTACTTATATAAATATTGATAATTATATAAGCAATATTGCTAATATATTTGAATGAGAGAAATTAATTAAAATAAATGTTTTAAATATTAATAGGTAAAGTAATTTTTAACAATTTTAATTTTAAAATTATTTTTTGTATAAACTAGTTATATTTATGATGTTTATATTGCATGAATATTGCTTTGATCTAATTCTTTTGTTGGTTTGAGTTCAAGAATTAAATTTAACCCCTACCCAACTTTGCTTGATAAAACTAAATTTGAATTTATTTATGTATAATGATAAAAAGAATTTGAAAATAAATTTATATATGTGTGTGTGTGTAAATTTTTTATTCATCAGATAAATATTATTAAGTCCAGGCTTATTTCTTATATACAGGAGCAGTAACATGTGACATTGTTTTTACTTTGGGCATTACGAGATAAAATTAGTTCTTATGGTGTCTTCACTCTTTTCTGCAACTTAATAAACGTTGTTCTGTATATAGTTAATTGTGCAAGAATCGCTATTATTTTCATGCACACATAATTAAATCAACTAATGAAGAAATTTAGTTTTAATTTTTAATATAAGATGTCAATTTAATATCCTACAACATTATTTTCATGTTTCTAATCATAGACCAAATTTCAACTTCGAACATCACCCAACATTTTCTTTTAATTTCAAGTCAGTTCCAACATACATGTCGGTTCTTTAATTGGGGAAAAAAATAATGTCCTAAGTCTTGTCTAGCTTTAGATGGGAGTTTCAAAGAAAAAGATGGATCAATTTAACCAAAAATAAAGAATGGCCTGTAAACACTATATATATATATATATATATATATATATATATATATATATATATATATATATATATTTACAAGGTAAACATTCTTTAAAGTAATCAAAATCGAATTAGTCCTCAAAATAGTCAAAAATAAAATAGTAAAAGGTGCTTTATTAGGAAATAAAGAGATAGATAAAGTTAAAGATAAAAAAAAAAGAGTCCGTTTCTCAAAGAGAAATCATAACAAAAGAGGATGATGAAATGTTAACTAGATTCTAATTATAGAAGAAGAAAATGTGTTTCTATATTTTTATCTACAAACTTTGCAAATAAATAAAACGGTCATTAATACTGATATTTTATTTACATATTTTTTAAGTTTATATAATTATATTGAAGCATTTATATTTTTAAACTAAGTTAAATATATTTATTATCTTAAAAAGATACATCAATTATATTTTTCAACTATAAAAAACCACTGGCTCTCTAAAATTTAGTCTTCAAAACTTGATTCCATTAACATAAGTGCTAACCCTTTTTACCAATTTTCCAAATCAGTCATACCAAATTAATGGAAAAAAAAATTAGGGCAAGACTTTTGAGATTTAGTTAATTATGAGAAACTGTTAAACGGTCAACACTTAAGTTAATGGAATTAACTTTTGAAACTAAACTTAGGGTTTTCAGAAATACGAAGATAAAAGTCAATTATTTTTACAGCTGGAAAGGTCAAATTCGGACAATATATTTAACTTTTAAAATCTGAGTATAATATAGATAGAAAATCAGTACATGAAAATGTAAACGGGTTAATTTTAAAAAGAAAAAAAAAAAGAGTAGAATTGCACATAGATTTTTTTTGCAAAAAAAAAAATCTTTATATATAGAACTATAACCTTGGAACAGTGAATCTCTTATTTTAAGTTCCTCACACGATTTTGTTTGAAATAATCTTTCTTTTCACAAGCGTAGAGATAAAACAAGTAGAGACTTTTGTTCTTATACAACAAAATGTGTTAATAATTATGAATAAATAGATTAAAAAATGTACTCATTTTGAGGTACAACATGCAAAAGTCACATTAAAAAATGAACACAATCGACAAGTCGCATTCTTGGCTAAAACCAAATTGAAAATTTGATGAAAATTGTTTTGATAAGAGGGAATTAATGGGGAAAGAAGCATTACCCCCATTGAAAGTGAGAAAGGGATAATGGGTGTGTGTATTGGTAAGATGAACCTCGGGAGTAGTAAGATCTGAAGTGAAATTGGTTTTGAATGAAGGTGCCCCACCCTAGAAAAGTAGAGGGTATATAGGATAATTAAGAGGATGGTGTGAGGTTCCATTATTAATATTTACGACGATCATAAAGTAGATTGTACCCTAAAGTTAGCAGAACTTCTTCACCTTTTACTTCCCATGGCGTGGCCTTCCATTTATTAACTGTAAATTGGATCATTGGACGCATGCAGTGCACACCAGTGATCAATCCAAATCATTGTAATTGTACTAAAACTTCAATGGACCACTTCCCATTCCACTTCTTCATCATAGCTATAATTTTCTTTTTCTTTTTTCCCACCAATATGTTTATATTATATTCCATGGAAAACAACATGTAAAGAAACAAATAATCAAAATAGCACCTTTTGGTGTTTTGGTTTTTTATCACTATACCCTGTGAATTTCAAGTTGGAAAGGAATCTTTGGTTTGCTGATATTTTTTATGTGTGTGATAATGAGAATGGTGAGACTCAGTTTGTATGTATCTTTTTCAATAAATGTTTGCAAAATAAACTTTAGGGCTAGATTTTTGGATATATAGTGACTGATTCTAATGATGATGCTTGCTATGGTAGCTTTCAGAGCCCTAAAACTTAAGAAGATATATATACAAGTACTGAAATTCCAAAAGTAAATGTTTTAAAGCTACCAGCAGCTTTATATGTTGAAGAATATTTCTAGTTCTGAGATCAAAATGTGCATGCATGTGTATGTATGTAGACATACGAAATAGTACTATAAAATCTGCAAATTCATTTATGATGATATGACGTGTGTTTGTTATTGTCATTAAACATGATGAAGATGTTAACTGCCTAATTAACACTGAGTTTTGATAATGTAATTCATAAGCTAAGGACAAAGGAATCATGAGAAAAGGAAATCTTTGAGAAAATCTTGTGTTTGAAATGGTGGTGCAGGACCAGAGAGAGAGAGAGAGAGAGAGTGAACGTGAAGATCATAGGAGTGACCAGGACGGAAGTGAACCCGAAAAGTGACAGATCCTTTGGGTATAAGTTTCTTGCTGGGGCTTTCCATGTTTCCCAAGATGATAAGTTAACAGATCAGATGCATGCACATTGATTTCGATTGAGGACCATGTGCCCTAAAAAAGGAGATAGAGAGGACCAGAGAGAGAAGAAGGGGTGGTCAAGAAAACGAAAGAACCCAACATAACCAAACCAAACTATACACAATTCAAATCTACATGCACACACCTTCACCTTTTCCTTACTTTCCAATCCCACAACAAAAAATTAGCATACATGTAATTAAGCTTTTTCATCAACATGGTTCATGACTTTTGTTTTGTTTAAGGTTAGGTTTTTCTTTTTCCTTTACTTACAAAATTGTTTAATAATAGCAACTCAACACACATAAGACAGATTGTTAAACTTTTTATACATTAATTAGACAACTTTCTTTTATAGAATTTATTAAAAGAAATAAAACTAGATTAAAGCATAAGAAATGGCACTTGCAGTTTGAAGAAGTCTAGGACAAATTATGTTTATATAGTCAACAATTGCTGCTTTCTGAAAACGTAAGGTAAAGCAGATTGGTAGAAAGTTTCAAGTTATCACATTACATGTTTGTAAGAAGGGTTTGGCTAGCTCCACATGCCTTGTTCTTTCCTTTTGTCTGTTTTCGTTTTATTGCACCAAATTTGAAAGGAACAAGAGAATGTAATGTGTACGAAGTTTCTTCAGTGGCACCCATGTTGTTACTTTGGGATGTGGTCTCAGACTAGTGCCTCTAGATTGTAGTGCATGTGTGGGTTACATACATATATATACACACTGTTATGCAACAGGTGCATGTGGAAATTGTATCTCTCGTAAATGGCGTTTTCTAGTTAGGTGATGCACACTAATGGTTGATGAGATTGTTGGAAGCAAAAACTGTACGGCAAAAGCAAAATCTAGAACCCTCTGTATTCTACAACTTTAACACACACACATGCATTCTGATCAGAGTGAGAGAGGTAAAATGTGAATGAGGATTGATAATTAGTCTTGATTATAAGAAATTAATATATAACCCTGAAAGTTGTCTGAAAAATACATGTGAGGTTATTATACTAATTAAGTATGTTGTAAGTGTTTTAATGGTTACATGTCTGAAACAATTTTGACTGTTACAGTTTTCACTTTTGAGTCTTTTTATGCGAGAAGCTTAGTGGGAGAATAGAGGTTGAATGCAATGCATGGTTGACTTGAAGTACGAGGGGGATGAGTATTTAATGACTAACCATAATTTACATCATTGTGTTTAGGTACTATAAAGATGCATTCACACTAGACTCATAAATATGAGAGAGTTCCAAAAATATGTTAAATTTTAAAAAAATTGTTTGAAATTTTTTTTACCTTTATCATATTAAAATTAATTTTTGTATGAACACTTATTTATTATTTTAAAAATATCAATTTTAATATTTTAAAAAATACACATTTTAATGTATTAAAATTAATATCTATGTATATATATAGAGAGAAATATTTTAAATAAGACTAGATATATTTCTCTGTTATTTTAGATTTATTGAATTTTCTATATCAGTTAAATAATAATAATTATAATAAATTTTAATTCAATTTTTAATATAACCTATATAGAAAATATTATATATATATATATATATATATATATATATATATATTTCTTCGCATTGCTCAAATCCTAATTCTAAAAAAAAGTAACAAAATTTAAATATTTAATATTGAAACAAAAAATGAGAAAATAAAACCTTAAGAATTACTTAATTTTCTATTGTGAAGACCTCTAAATAGATAGAGGAGAGAAATTAAATCACTAGTTTAATTTGAAGAAAATTACTTCTCATCATCGTGATATTTCATTTTTTATGTAATAATTAACTTTAACCATATTATATATTATGTTATGTATGTAATTATGTTATTACATAATATATAAACTATTATACTATTATATCATTTAGATTTTAAGGAATACTTCAATAATTTCAAGTGTTGACATATTTGTTGATTTAGTACATATAGATACTCTTAAACTCATACAAAATACTTACTAACCTAAGGAATAAAAGTAAAATAGAAATTAAGGGCAAATTTGTATCATTCCCAAAAATATGTACCCCATAATTATGGTTAAGGAAGGGTTTGTTCCCTGTCCAAGTTAACATTTGTTGGGACAATTACGGGTGGGCTTTGAGAACTATCCATGCCCTTTAATAAGGATTTATCTTGTTGCACCTCTATAGTTTCTTTCTACACTCTCATGATTAAAATAAATCTTATTTTACCTTTCATTCAAACATATCTACGTTTTTTAAACTCAGTTTTACACTAAGTATTTTGAAATACATTTAAATTGACTGTTATGGAATATATTTTCGGGACAGTTAATCTGGAAACGTATTCTAAAACATTTAATTCGAAATACATTTTTAGAATATCCAATTCAAAAATATATTTTAAAATAGTCAATATGAAAATACATTACAAAATACCTAATTTGAAATATAATTTCGAATAAGTGAGTTCAGAAATACATTCAAAAACATTCCATCCGAATTATTTCAGAAATATATTCCAGATTGAGTTGTCTAAAACACATATTCAGGTTCGAAAATTCATTTTGAATTAAACAATTTAAATCCTTATATCACTTTCAGTTTTATTTTCATGTAATAGATATAAAATAATAATAATTTATCATCTTATGGCCAAAAAAATCTTTGATGGGAATGAAAGTACAACAAAACGAAATTATAAGAACTATGAATAACCATGCGAGATATGAAGTTGTAGAGGAACAGAAGACAAGAAATCTTTAGGTTTTAAACAAAAATTAGTAAGAGAGTATTTCAATCGTTTTATATACATTATGAAAATACAGAAAGAAACTATCTAGGTGTAGGAATAAATAGCCTTTTAACACAAACACTTGACCGTAACTTCCTATAGCCAATTCAATTGGGCACCTCTCTTTCATGGCATCTTAAAGTTTAATGGACCAAAAAAAAAATAAAAATTTGCCTTGTTGTAATGAACATCTTTGAGATTATTAGTTGCTCTTCCCTTATGATCAATTTATGTAACAAAGTCTTTTAAGTAAATCGATTTATTAAAAATAGAGGTATGGATTGGATTGTGGATCAATTTTTAACAAATTTGACGAATTAAACTGAACTAATTAATTACTTGGGCTTAGAATGAAGAAACCTTAGGTTTCTATATTAATATATTTTAAAGGATAAATTATTTTTTATACAATAATTATGATAAATACTTTTGTGTTTAGTATAATTAAATTTTTTTATTTAATTTACATATAATATTAATTATTCTATTAATTTTTTAATCATTATAATTAAAGAAATAGTTAGTTTTATGTCATATAAATCATTATATTCATATATGAGGATTTAAATGTTACATAATAATAATTTATCAAACATATTAAAAATTTATGTAACAAAAACTTCGATTTTATCGTACATATTTATAATTAATTATAAACTATTGTGAAGTTAAAAGATTTATGAAAACATAAATAATTTATTGGTAATCAGGGGGTGGTGGCGCAGTTGGCTAGCGCGTAGGTCTCATAGCTAAGTTGAGAAATCCTGAGGTCGAGAGTTCGAGCCTCTCTCACCCCAACTTTAAATTTTTCAACATGATAATTTTTACAATGGTAAATGGAAGTATAAAAGATTTACTGCAGGCAATATTAATGCTTATTATGTTGCAACTTGGAAGCATTCCCGGGCAAATAAATACAGAGACAGTGATGATGAGATATGTTTTTAATGTTTATAGATTGATTTTACTTTTCTTCACATCTTAAATTTTCATTTCCTTTTAGCTGATGGAATGCAGTAATCTTGGGCTTTCGAGTCTACACAAATGGCTTTCCATTTTTATTCATGTCATTGATAAGTGTGGGCATGCACGCCCTGTTAAACTTGCATGTTTAGAGCAAATACTAACCGGAATATTAAATTTCTATATTCTAGTTGGGCATTTCTTATTCAATTCATCTTTATAAAACTCTCTCCCCTTGCACGAAATAAATCTAGCAGGGGCTCAAGTAAATATGCTCAAACTTCATTCCATATGCAAAATACACAATGGGATCCTTAAGAAAGATATTCTTTTATATGCCTTTTACATATTGAATCTAATACTTCTCAGAAGTCGCAGTGCATAATTAGGTAGCTAGTTACCATTCTAAGATCCATAATATGCCATCCTTGCTGCAGAAAAATAATAATCCAGTTTTCTATCCAATCCTTTGTTCAGTTAATAAGGGGAGATGACAGTAATTTTCATCTTAAAACTAGGCTATCTTCACACATTCCAAAAACTAATAAAATATATTATTAGATACTAAAATCACATACAATACATTGATTCGGCAATACACTTGATCAGCTAGAGACAAGAGCTTCCTTTAGAAAGTACTCTGTCCACAAACTGCAATTAACCACTCAAAATTACACAGCCAACTATTACATATATACTCAATACATTACTCCAACAAGCCATTTCTACTACTTTCTAATACATTTGCCATTAAATATACATATACTTCAAAATCATAGTGCATAATTGTCATTATGTAATTTTTAATACAGAATAATTTGGAACTAGTTATATATACTTCTATAATTAGATACCACCAATCCATTAAAAAAATAAACTAAAATCATAATTCCTATCAAATTATTTGATCTTGGATGATATTGCTTTTTTCAAATCATAATTTCTATCATGTCAAATTTGGTCTTGGATGATATTGAATTTTTCAAATCATAATTCTTATCATGTCAAATTGTTTGGTCTAGGATGATATTGAATTTTCCATGATCCTTGAATGGATGGAAAACTAAAAATTTCCATTCCATTGATCTCTGAAGATTTATTTGTTCATGATACCATTGATCTCTGAAGATTTATTTGTTGTCAAGTCCCAAGAGGATGTTACCATTCCCCATTCATCATCTTGAAATATAATGTCTTTTTTGTCTTGATGTGCTTCTTGGTTAGAAGATAAAAACATGAGCCATCATTTACAATATTGTATTATGTTTTAAATCTTTTTGATGCATGATAATTATTCAAATTAGAATATTCATCATACATAATTGAAATATCTTCAATCTTGTAGTCCTGCAATGATTTTAGAAGAAAATAATCAGATAAAAAATTCTTAAAATTCTCAAAACAAATATAAAAATATCACAAATTCAAAATATGTGTAATTCTCATGTCCTATGTATGGAAAAAGATGAAAGTAAAGAAATTGTTTGTTTTACCTAAATTCTAAGTAATAATCCACCAATCAATCATGAATCCCAATATAATATCAAACCCAACCAGAACAAGACATTTCACTTTAGTTTCTTTTCATAACCTAAAGGAGAAAATCACTAAAATGCATCAAAATTCAAATCACCACTATGCACACTATAATTTAAACTTATTAAACCAACATAAAAATTTAGTAATAATAAGAGATACAATTTAAACTTTGCACAATTATTTTTACCACTTACTTTAAAGATGACTTTTGCATCTGGATAATTGTAGTCTTCACAATATATTGGTTCCGATGGAAACTGTATTGGTTCCGATGAAATCTGAGTAATTTCTCTGTCTGGAATTTGAGTAATTTCTTCATCAAAACTTAAAATTGATGTGAGGAACTCATCTTCCTTTGAAACTATAGATTCAAGAGAAATATGCAGTGGTTGAAATGGATCCTGAGTAATTTCTTCATCAATAGTTAAAATTGATGTGAAGAACTCATCTTCCTCTGAAATTATAGATTCAAAAGAAATATGCATTGGTTGAGAAACAATCTCTGTTTGTTGAGAATCAATCTCTGTTTGTTGAGATGGAATAACCATCTTTGTTTGTTGAGAAACCATATCTGTTTGTTGAGAAACCATCTCTGTTTGTTGAGAAACCATCTCTGTTTGTTGAGAAACCATCTCTGTTTGTTGAGAAACCATCTCTGTTTGTTGAGAAACCATCTCTTTTTGTTGAGAAACCATCTCTTTTTGTTGAGAAATCATCTCTTTTTGTTGATATAAAATCTGATTTATGTTTTCATTTCTAAAATAGACATTGATTAAAGGATAATTTGGATAAAAAGTTTCCTCTTGCTCATCAATACCAATTAGAGACTGTTGTCTGGAGGGGAAGCATGTATCTGATTGATCAGTTTCTGGAAAGATCGTTTTCATTCCTGTATAAGCAACTCCCTGAAAAGTATAAATAAAGAAGTAAAAATTCTCAGCATATTTCACATGGTTCAGTCTAAATATGTTTATGAAGATGCTTCAGCATACAAATGGAATTCTTTATGCTGTTACCTGATTTTCATAGTTAGAAACCATGCTTATACTGGATTCTCCTTTCTCACTTATCAGTGCATCAGTTCCACCTTCAGTAGTGTTCCCAGGTTTCTTTATCAAGCGGCATAAAACAAAAGTCCTCTGCAAAACTTGGAGTATAGTCAGAATTTTTTTCACAAAAGTAAAATGCCAAGACAAATCACTGATCTAATTGATAGTCTTCCATGAAAACTTATAATGAGTTGAGTGTGCTTAGATAAAAAGATTAATTAAACACTTATCCAGTATGTAAGTCAAGATAAATCTTTTAATTAATTAAGCTCTATTAAATAACTGACTCAAGCTTTAAGCATCAATTCATTTACAAGCAAAGTTGAAAAGTTTGACTCTGCTGGACTTGTTTATACCACACCATAGTTCAGTAAAAAGATGATTTCCAAGCAGTGTTAACAAATTCTAAAAAAAAAAAAAAAAAAAAAAAAAAGAAATGCAAACCTGGTTTTCATTTAAGGTAGAAGCATGGTATTCGTGAATAACCCAGTTGGTCTTAACACCTTTGGAAGCACGACCTTGGTGGAAAACAAGAGTCTTCTTACTCCCAATGACAGTGGTAGTGTCCCAGCCCTTAACGTCACGGTCATTTCCAGTGGGTTTCCAGAAGCCACACTTGGTTGTCCTGTTAACCCTTTTACTATTTGAATACTTGAAATCAACAGGACTGAAGAAAAACCATTCTGGGTCGCCGAATCGTAATACTGATTTTTCCAGCATCGCTATTTCAAACAGTAGAAGAATCAGACAACATTATAAGAGCAAGAACATGGTCAATTGATTTCATGAAGATGATCGGTGAGTTTACTGTTTAAATTATTACCTGGTACTTCCCACGGTTCCACATCACAAAGTTCAATGTCAGGCATGACGAGGACACTGGGATCATCACCCAGCAGCTTGTGTTTGAGGTAAAAGTCGACAAGTTCTTCGTCTTTGGGCCGGAAACCGACTCCTACAATCTTCATTGATTTTGGTTTTGTGAACACCTAATTCACTGTGTTCGTAGTTACTGTGAAAAGAAAGGAAGTGAAAGATGATGAAAGAAAGGATAACGAAGAAAGCGAGTAGGGTTTTCAGTTTCCATGTCTATGCTGTGTCGTGGAACTTCATTCATTTAAATGATGAAAAAAAAGACATTGACTTACTTGACTCCTTAGACAACAAGTTTTCGTTTGAAAATAAAATACTACAAAACAAAACCTAGGGGACAATGGGTATATTTTTTTCTTTTTTTTTTTTTACTTTTTCTATAATAATTATAATAATAAATATAAATAGTTAATTAAAAACAATATTAAATATAATAACTTTATTTCTATGGGTAATGCTCTCACACCTAGGCACATTAGCTGTAGGAAATGATGAAGTGATTGTACAAATACCGCGTGAGAGGAAGAAATTTTTTTTCTCACACAATCCACATGTCACTTTCTACGAAATGGACCAAAATCAATTTAACTTTTTTATTTTCAGATTCTTTAGGGATAAAATCTGTTATGAGTCTCTATCACTATAATGAATGGCTTTTAAATCATTGATTAAAAATATAAAGGTTATTTCAAGGGGGTCGCAAATGGATTAACTCGCTCCATTTTCATCCGTCTCACTAAAGTGTTATTTGTCGTATATATTTTTTTAATTTATCTTTTTAAATTAAAATTTTTAATAAATTTAATAATAAAATTATTATTTACTTTTAATAGTTTAAATTTAACATTTTAAAGATTAACTATTGATTAAATTTGTTTTGTAATGTAAAGTGAATTGGATGGAAATGAAGTATCCTGTGAATTTTCCAGGAAGAAATTTGGTAACATTACTGAAGTTGGTAATATGAATTTAGGAAACAGTTAGACTTGCTCCCCAAGTATAGCATTTCAAGTGGTGAACTCGTTGTCCCTACCATGTCCTTGTAACATAACATCGAATCTTTGAGTCAATTTTCTTTGTTGCCCCACCATATCCTTAAGGTGCTTTTTATAATATTGGATTATTATGCTTCCCATTAGTTTTTGTTGTGTAAAAAATTGGAAACTCACTGTCAAAGAATAAACAGTTGTATGAGCACAAGATTACAGTTTATGTTAAGACAGCACTATGTTGATGAAATTTTTTTAAATTTCCTTAAATTGTATTTTTATATATGAAATATATTTTACATGATATATATTTTATTTATTTATTTATTTTATTTATATATAGAATAAAAATATTATAAAATATTAAATATTAATAATATCTTGATTATAATTATTTAAATCAAATATTTTTTTTATCTTTATTTTAAAAAAATAATAAAATATCTTAATACTTAATTTAAATAAAAGATAATAAAAATAATTTTTTTAATATTTTTCTTTATTTTAATATCCATTTATTTGAATTTAATATTTTTTTATTTTATTTTGTTTGAATTTTTTTAAATTCTATTATATTTCTTTTGGTACGAGATCACATCTTCATTCAACTTTATTTTCTTTATCAAAATATTTCTTCTTTTATCAACTTCATTTTCTTTATTTCTTTCAAACTTCATGGTAGTATCAGTTAAACTTTTGATGGATGTTGGAAACGATTTTTTTATCTACATCTTTATTTTCCTCCTTAATATCAAGTTCCTTTAAGAAATATTCATCATGTTTTTTCTTTGACTTTTCTTTTATATCCTCGTTTGTAATCAACTCTTTTTTCATCAAATTAAAAGTGAAACTTTTTAAACTTTAAATATTTCTAAGTTATTTATATTTCTAATCACACAACGTTTGTGCTCAAAAAACACCTTATAACTTTTTTCCAATAATTAATTGAGCAACACTTAACAAATGATTAATATTAGGAATATATAAACCATCAAAAATTATTTTGATACCCGAATGATTTTTAATTACAATTATTTTTATACTTTTCACATCCATTTGTACTACCACTGTTTATAAGTCAACCTGTGAATTTGTTGATTATAGAGCATGTTGACGCAAGGAGAAGTTCTCATTCTACTCCATCCTCTATAACCTTGGATAGGTTGATTGTAGAACATATTGATGTAAAGAGAAGTTCTCCTTCTACTTCATCCTCTATAATTATTAACGACTTCTTTGGGTAGTGATTTGAATATTTTTTCTATATATCCCAATTGACCACATTTGTGACATTTTATATCAGACATCCACCAACACTTGTTGTGTGGGTGAATATATTTCTTACAATAATGACAAAAAAAAAGACACGTGATTTTGTATTTTTGTTATTCTTGGCTTGGAGAGAATCTTTATCATGATATAGTAAAAAATCTTCAATAGTAGCATGATCTCCTCTTATCAACATGATTTTATCTTATCAATCTTCGTTGTTTTTGCGTTTGTAAAACATATAACACTTGTGCCAAAGTAATATTAGATAAATTTGTCGTATTTTCTAATGAGATAATAAATGTTTCATATCTCTTTGACACAGTTACCATAATTTTCTTAACTATTTTGGAATTAAGAAATTTCTTGTATAACAATTTTATTTTGTTAGCAATACCCAACAATTTGTTTGAGTATTCATTAATTATCTCAAACTCTTGCATCCTTTGTATCTCAAATTCTTTTATCAAGTTTAGAAATTTCATACCTCAAATTTTCTCATCCTCTTCATATTGATCTTTCAAATAATCTCAAATTTCTTTGGGTAACTTTAACGTCATGATTCTGGTGAGAATCATTTGTGAAAAACAACAAATAGATATGATTTAACTTTTGTCTTTCTCGTTTTTCTTTTTATGTGAAATTTCATTTAAATTATATTGGAATTTTCAGGCAGCAGATCAATCATATACTCCTCTTCCACAACTTCCTATACATCAAATCCTTTAAAATAAGATTGCATTCTTACAATCCATAAGTCATAATTTTCACCATAAAAAATTGGAATAGTGACATGTGAGAAACTTCTTTCTCCTTCCATTGTGTAAGAACTTAAACTCCTAATACTACTAATAAAAAATGTTATGATTTTGTGTATGTATATTTCGATATATAAAATATACTTCATATGGTATATATTTTATTTATGCACTTTATCAATAAAGTAAAAATATTATAAAATATTAAATATTAATAATATCTCAATCATAATTGTCTAATTCAAAATAATTTTCTAATATCTTTTTAACTTCTCTCTTAAAAAATAATAAAATATCTTAGTATCTAATTTAAATAAAATAATATTTCAAACATAAGTAGAAATTGTATTGTTATATCTGATTTATGTTGCAAGTATCTTCTCCAAAACATGACAACAATTGAGATAGAAATTAAGTTTTAGTTGTTATATAAGAATTTAATTTTATGATTGTTTTCACTGCTTGAGTTTTTCATCAACTATTATGAGTGTATTTTATAGAGAGCCAAATCCATTTTAGCAAACTCATCTACCAAAACAAAAATAAAGATTGTGAGGATAACATGTTTGTTTAATGTTATAAATTGATTTCACTCTTCTTCATTCTTAGTTGTGTTTTCCTTTTAGCAGATGAAAATGTAGCACCGTTACATTACATATAGTTAAGCATTTCATGTTACAGAACAATTCTATATAAGTATTCTCCCATTGACAGAAAAAATTGGCCAAGGATTGTTAATTTCGGTAACAGTCTACTGTGGTCACAAGTCTACATTGAGAATCAATTTCACAACTCATGCACAGTTCTAATATAATCTTTGGGACTGTAATGAATTTGTACACATATGTCAATCGCATTCAACAATTCAAAATCATTTTTGTATCAAAACCAATCCTACCTACCAAAATCTAAAACAAACTAGCATAAAATACAAAATGGAATCCTTAAAAGAGGGTGCTTTCTCTATACACTCCATAGTAGTGAGTTCCATACAAACAAGAGTTTCTCAGTTCAGGCAAACTCTTCCACTAATTCTCACCATTTCCCCTTCTATAGTTAGTATGGAAAGCTTATGTCGGATGTTCTGTTCTTGTAAGGGAAAAAAAAGTGGGGTTGGGAGGTTCCCTTCATTTAATTTTCAAACTGACATCCATACAACATAAAATATTCAGCCAGAGAATCTACTTTGTTCCTACTATAATCATATCTTTCAATGCTCCTTGCCGCTTCTGAATTTTCAAGAATTCGTCATATTATTAAATACACTAGGCATGCAACTTACTGTAGCTTTCATGTCATAATAAAATATCTAAAGCAGAAAGTGGTGCAAATTTCATTGTAATTAGTTTCAATGATTGCAAGTTCAATGGTATGTTGGAATTTAGTTTTTCTGTCATATCTGAGCATATGCAGGCACTGTTTTAATGTTGCATACTGTACACAACCTATGTCAGCTTGTTTGATAGATTGTATTAGATGTTCTAATATTTCTAATATGATACATAAATAAATGAAGCTCTTACAATTTTGATTGCTTAAATTTACATATCTACTTTCTATTTCCTTCTTTAAATAATGATTCAAGTTAGGTTTTAATTGGTGATGGTTTTTATTTAGGCTTATTAAGAACTTGGCGATGCATACCATTTAATAGAATTCCAGCTAACCTTCATTTTCATTTTTTGTGAAGATTTGCTTAAACATCTTTATTGGATAAAACAGTCCTGAAGGTGACTACACATTGAACAATTGACTTGACACGCATGCCAACATGTTTTTGAGCAGCAACAAAACATTTTCAGTAGAGGCTACATAGGCTTACTAAGAAATGTTTCAAGAGGACTTGACACTGCTTTTAAAAACCGCCGTACAAATAAGAAAGTTCATCTCAACAGAATTGTTCAAAATTCTTAAAACAAAACAAAATTTGTTTAGCCTTAAGGGTTTATGTTATCATTGGTTTAAGGAGTAAACTCCTAAATGGTTTTCCAAATATTACGATATCACCAAATTAGTTCCTCATATATAAAAAATGTCACCACATTTATCTTTTTGGAGAAATAAAGTGGAGTCACAATA